GACAGGAGTGGGTATGATATTGTGTGGAGTAGAAACCAAGCAGAGTTGCTGATGGTAAATGGAGAAGAAATCCTTACAGTAAGTTAGAAACAACACTAAATAGAATAAAGATGTTGAAAGAAGACAGATTAGACTAAGTACATATAAACAACAACATGAAAGTTTACCAAATTGTAAGGACATGATGGGACTGATTCAGGAATTACTTGAAGAACAGAAAGATAAAAAAGGGGTGAAAAAATTTATTTAATATCTCCAAAAAGTGACTGCTGGGCATCATTGTCTATTTTCCTATCTATACAAAATCTCTGAGAGAGTCATCTACATATAAATGGAGGACATTCTACATGAAGGTATTAGTAGGCAATAAACCCATTTTTGAAAGCAATATTCTATAACAGACCATAATCTTTACAACCTTGTAACTAAAAGATGTAGACAATACAAGATCCCATTGTGCTTGCTCTTTGTTGATTATTAAAAAGCATTTGATTGAGTAGGAAAAGAAGTCACCTTAAAGGATCTTTTCCAATAAACTGCCTCCCATCCATTCATCAGTTATTCAAGATTCTGTGAAAGATGTAACTACCTCTCTTCAATAACTATGATCATAAACATTTAGATGAGGCATAAAACAAGATGTATACTTGCAAAGGTGTTCATCACTGTGATAGAGGAGCCCTAGTACAAGGCTGAAGCTGAAGAGGGATTCCATGTGGATAGTGAGATGCTCCTTGTCCCCTGGTCACTGGTTTCATATGATTGCAGGAGATCTTCTGACCCTAGATTCTAGTCCATATGTTAAAAGTTATTCCCTTCTAATTGGGTCGCTTGTGTTTTAGCCACTACTCAGCTGAACTCAAAAATATTTAAATAATAACTATCAGGTATTAGGAAGTTTCTATTACTTTTTGAGGTAAAGACCATCTAACAGAACACAATTCAATGAGGAAAAATGTTCTCCACATAAGCTCCTTATAACATGCATGAAACTTTCACAGGAATCCTAGTCAGAAGACTTGTCAAACACTAAGGTTATACAATTACTACACATATATTTTATCCATTCATATAGAATTGGCTCTTTCCTATTACAACAGCCATTCTTTGGTCTAATGCGCCACAAAACTCTACTGACCCCAAAATAAAAGGTCCTAATGTCCCTTTTCCATTTAAAACTATTTTTGACAGTTTTATATGAAAAACTGCTTGAAGGCCTGTAATTCTAAAATGATATATTATATCACTAATATGTTTCTCAACTGTTTCTATATTGTTACAAAGCATGTGCCACTCAATAAACCCTTTTTAAAAATGTATTTGAACATATTTTTCATCTTTGCAAGATGTAGGTCATCTGTGGCAACAGTTTGTTACAAATGTTAAAATCAAGTATTTTGCCAATGAGACTCAGAGGACAAATAAGCACAGAACTGAGTTTTACTTAAATGCTTAATACCTAAAAATGCCACTAAAAGATACATATAAAAACAAAAGAAAACTAAGAGCATTTATCTAAATTAATATAAATGGCAATCTTGACTAGAGGGTAATAAAGTACATTTTTATCACTCATTTTAAATGATTCAAGTTCTTTCTAGAGTCTTGGTAATAGGAGAGACACTTTGAACAGAACTTTAAATCATTTAGGGACTTGGATGAAATCAAGTTGACTAAAACTAAATTTTAATAAGACACAAGTTATGCTGTTTAGCAGGGATAATCATCTAAGCCAGAGGTTCCCAAACTTATTTGGCCTACCACCCCACTTCCAAAAAAATAAAAAAATTACTCAGTGCCCCCTTGGAAATCTGCTTTCTTTAATCCTTTGACACTTTTTTTTTGAAATGTGTGTCAAATCAAAAACTATAAAATTTTTTTAAATGACGCACCTTAAATTTAATAATTTATTGTAAATTTGTTTTTTCTTTTCCTGCATCAAAAATTTTGATGACACAATATTGCATCATATAATCGTATAGTATCATATTGTAAACAAGTCATTACATGCACTTATCCCTGCTGATGCATACTAGACTTCCCGACAATGCCTGATGTGCTCACCTGCCAACACTTGCTTGTCAAGACCTGTTGGGGGACTTGACCACTGATTGGTTATAACTTGCATTTTGTGTGTTTATTTGGAAAATAACGTAATCACTACAACTTTAACTCTGTTACACAACAGATGAAACAAGTTTGAACAGTTTTTCCAAATTTTTTTAATCTTATCTTCTTTGCTTATGCTTCTACTACCCCCTTATTTTTATTCAACACCCCACAAGTGCATCCAAGGTTACTACCACTCCCTACCCTCCGAGGGCAGTATTACTCACTTTGGGAACCTTTGATCTAAGCACTGTGTGTAGGCAGCTTCTGCCCCTTCCAAAGAGGACATGATCTCTGCCACTGAAATTGTTTCCTTACCTTGTGGTTTCCAAAGAGCTGCACCTAAAAGTGCCTTTGGCTATCTATAGCAATGAGTAACCTTTTATTTTCTCCAGAAATGAAAATATATCTTAATCTTTGCTTTTTTGATACTCAAGTTGCAATATTCTCTAAATGAGATATTCTGGATTACCATTCAAAATAATTTCAGCTAGTAATGAGTTTCTCACAAATATAAGGAGACAAACATTCATTATCAATAATACTATGTACTCTGTAATGGTTTGGAGTAATATTTAAGGTGATAAATTTTGTCTAAAAAGTCATTCATGGCTTGTAGTAAGGTTATTTTAGAGATTAATAATATGATTATACTCAAACTGGCTACATAATTTATATTGGAAATTGAATAAACTGGAAAGTGGACTGGCAGAAATTAGGCTCAGACCAGCACCTCACAACATATTCCACAACACATTCTAAATGGATAGGTGACCTTAATATTAAAAATCATACTATAAAAAATTAGAAGAGAAACAGATTATATACCTCTAATAGCTATGGAAACAAGATGTATTTTTAATCAAACAAGAGACTGAGGCAATTTAAAAGATAAAATAGATAAACTTTGGTTTCTTGAAACTGAAAAGCTTCTGTACAGATAAAAAATAATGCAACTAGGATAAGAAGGGAATGGTTGAATGAAGAAAAAAAATCCTTATGTCAAATTTTTCTTACAAGGATTTGCTACCTAAGTTACATAAACTATATCTCTATTTGTCTATCATCTACAAATAATTAATAATTATTCCGCAATAGATAAGTGGTCAAAAAGCTATGAACAAACATTTCTCAAAAGAAGCATTGCAAAGTATTCACAACTACATTAAAGAATGCTCTAAATCACTAACATCAAGAGAAATGAAAATCAAAACAACCATGAGTTTTTTACCTCACATTCTGCAAACTGGCAAAAATGCCAAAAACGGCAATAATCAATGTTTAAAGGGTTGTAGAATGATAGAAAAAATAATTCATTGTTGGTGGAGTTGTGACATGGTACAACCATTTTGTAAAGCAATTTGGAATAATACAAATAAAGTGATTAAAATACTCATACCCTTTGAACCAGAGACTTCATTGCTGGGCTTATACCCCAAGGAAGCCTTAGATAAGAAGAAAGTCCCCATGTACTCTGAAATATTTATAGCAGCATTTTTTGCATTAGCTAAGAATTGGAAACAAAGTAGATGTCTATCAATTAAGGAATGGCTAAACAGACTGTGGTATACGAACGTAATGGAATGTTACTGTGATGTAAGAAAAGATGAGTGTGATGAATACAGAGAAGCATGGAAAAGTCATATGAACTAATGCAGAGAGTAGTAAGCAGAGTCAAGGAAACAATATATACAATAATTACAACAATGTAAATGAAAAATATAACTGTATGCTAGAAATCAAAAGTAAATGTAATGAAATTATTAAGATCCAGCAGAACTTGAATGAAGAAATATGGAGAATACCCTCAACCTGCTCCTTTCTGGAGATGAGAGGACCACAGGTGTTAGATATTGCACATATTTTTTTCAATGTGCTAGTCAGTTGTGCTGATTTTATTCTCTTTCTAAAAAACATTTTTATATGGGATGACACTCTGGGAGGAGGAAGGTCAGAGATACTTGTGATATAACTATGATGAAGTAAGAAAAAGAATATATCAATAAAAATTATTTATAAATTTTTTTTAAATGTCTTGGGTTAAAATTCTTGTTCAGCCAGTAATTAGCTTCTGATCTTGTACAACTTTCTGAGCCTCAGATTCTTCATTTACAAACTGAGGTTTTTGGACTAGATGATCTCTAAGAATAATTCCAACCCTAAATCTTTTGATTCTAAGAGACACTAGGTGATTTTCTGTAAAGGAACCCAATAGTTTTATTGGATTCGCATCCCAAAAATTAGGGACATGGACATGATTCTGTGAATTTAATAATAAGCCCAATATTAATATTAGTTTTATAATGATAATGCCAGATATATTTATGCTAACTAAAAAATATTCGTTAATTCCAGCCTCACCAAAAAAAAAAAAATCAAATACAATTTCTTATGCTTAAAAAAAAAACAAAAACAGGAAAAATAAAACCAAGTGTCTGAAGTAATTTTCACAACATCTGAAACGTAAATTGATAGTTTCATTCGTTTTACCTAATGTAGACATTGAGCCTAGTGAAAACAAATAAAATACTCACACTTATTAATACATATGAAAAATATGAAGTATGATATGGAGAAAATTAATTAAGAATGTCATAAATAGGCCTTAGATCTAAAAAAAAGTAAGAAAAGAAAAAAGGAAAAAGGGAAAATAATATTATGTTTTCAAGGTCTGAAGTAAAATGAATAATACGACACGGGAGGGAAGGGAATCCATTAATTACTCCAATAAATGGCCAAAGATTCCTTTAAAAATCTATCTTTTTTTTTTACCAATTCATGAGTATTTAAATCAAATCTTACTTTATAGTTTCTGTTTTTATATTGAAAATCCTCCTCTCTTTTTCTACAGTTGCTTATGAATGGTAACTGACAAAAATCAAGATACCTACCAAAAGCTGCTACTTTGATGACCATGGCTTGGATGTCAGATGATATCATTTCTCTAAGCAAATCTTCCTGGTTTCGACGCCAAAGGTAAGCTAAAGGCTGAAGATCAAGCCTCTTACATCTGTTTTTTTAAGGGAAAAAGAGGATTAAATCAAAATATTGTACTTATTACTCCACACTAACTTGATTTTAAACATAATGGATTTATCAAGAATTGAGACTTTTAGACCACAAATGCTACATATAATGAAGCTTCTATAGAACATAAACAAATTTAATCCTTAGGACTATATACTAAAATATAGATAAACTGAAACCTCTGGGCAGATTATAAATACATTTGTAGTAAGTTTCTAAGTACAGAAAGCTTAGCACAAGAAATTCTAGTAGCTAAGGACTATTAATAAAACTATTAAAACTTTCTAGGCAGCACTATTTATAATGTCAATAAGACTCAAGACAAGGAAAAACCACTTTTCTTGTTTTAAATTGTACTCTAAATTTTTTATGTGTAAATATCCTGATTTTTTTTCAAATACACGGAAATTGCTTGAATGCCTGGATCATGTATTATTTATTCATGTTTGTTTCAGCCCCTTCAAATTTCTGCACACAGTAAGTAGTTGTTATCTAACTGAATTAAAGAAAAAGATCCCTATTTTCACACAGTAAAAATATAATTATTGCTGCCTAATTACATTTTGGTGAATGTTTAAGAATAGAGAACTCTGAATTAAGTTGTTATATCATTTCCATCTTTAACACTGAACATTTGTTGTTGTGCTGATTTCCAGTGTCAAATCTTTCATTATTGTTAAATTCTATAATAACTCAAAAAATTTAACCATGTGACATTATTATAATCACGTCACCTTGTTTCTCAAATTCCTTTTTACTACATTTACATGCTTTACTTTTATTCATTTTTCCATGAACATTCTTTATCTCAACACATGCTAAAGCCTACTTCAAGACTATTACATAAAGAAGGGAAAAAAGACAGCCAGTTTAGACTATATCTCTATGATTCCACATAACTAAGCGAAAAATGAAAAATTCAATCATTTGTTCTCCTAAGTTTCGTCAATATAAAAAAATCATCGTAGTTATCATCCTTTACATTTGGACAATGCTAAATATTTTATTAATTTTTGGTAAACATTGTATAAAATCTTATCTTAACACCTCTGAAAATAAGCAGGGTAGATAGATATCATGCTAGTTTTACAGATGAGGAAACTGTACCTCAAAGAAATTAAGTGACAAATCAACAATTAAATAACTAGGAAGTAGCAAAGTTAGGACTAGTAGTCAGATCTCTTGCATCTTAATTAGGTGCTCTTTCCATTTCAATATTGACTTTTTTTTCCCATTGGCCGGACAAATTTAGTGAAACAGTTTCTGACAATATAGAGACTCAATCATATTGGAAAAAAATAAACTGATTTTCTGCCACCCTGTGAATCAAAAATTTTGTTGGTTTGGTGAATTTTTAAAATATTTCATCCATTTTGGCAGCTTAGGATGGGCCCAAGAGATCATTTTTTTTTTCATTTGAAACCCTTTTAGCATAGAATGTTACTCACCAAGTGATGAAATACAAAGAAATATGATAATTTTATTAGCCTCTCCCAAAGTACAGAGGTTGTTAAATCTGTTTGAACTTAGTTAAAATGGTTTTCCACTTATATTCTACTTTCTCCTTTTCCTTTTCTGATCTGTATCCCTGTTGAGTTGATTATGTTCCTACACCAAACTCTGTGAGTATTCTTGGCCCTCTTCTCACCTGTGGCTCCAAGAAGTTGTAGCATGTGCAGCAGCCACACCCTGGTAAAACCATCTCGGCAGATGGGCTAAACCAAGTTGAGGGTAACTGATAGGTCTCAAACCCATCAGTGAGTTAGGGGGATGTCTATCCTAAGCATGGGAATACTTCATGGAATGGGTGAATGAGAACAATTTGTTCCAATGACCATGAAAGTGGTTGAAGCAGGTGGTGTGGAGGGATTAGAGTTTGGTCAGACATCAAAGATGCCAAGGTCATCCACTACATCCTGGCCATCGCTGTTTGTCTTGACTTGTCTTGATACTGGATTTTGATGATTCTGGAAGAGAGAATGAGGTTGATGACTTTGTGCAAATCTACCTCACTTAAATCCAGTTCATGCACAAGTTGAGACTTGTCATTGGTGATGTCATGACTGATTGATGATGATGACCATGATGTCATTGGTCCTCTTTGAAAATGAAAGATGAACAACATCTTCAAAATATAACAAAACTATTTGTCTTCTCTCCACTCATGATCCCTATGATGCTTTGTGATATTAAGATTTTGAAAGAACTTTTAACTTCTCCCCCTCCCTTAAAATGTGAAAAGCTCACCCTTATAAAGCAACCTTTGACTGTTCACTTGTATTTACCATTTTATTTTTCTAAATTCTCTTATTTATATTTAAATGTTCTGTTTCAGTTCTGGGTTTTTCATCAGCAATGTCTGAAAGTTCTCTATTCATTGAAGAACTTTTTTTTTCTTCTCGTAGGATCATACTCAGTTTTGCCAGGTAAGTTATTCTTGATTGCAGACCTTTATCATCTGTCCTATGTAGTATCTCATTCCATGCTCTTCACTCTTTTAATATTATAGCTACTAAATTTTGTGCAATCCTGATTGTGGTTCCATGATAATTTGAATTCTTTCTTTCTGGCTACTCACAGTAGCTTTTCTTTTATCTTGAAGTTCTAAATTTTGACAGTGAGGTTCTTGGGAGTTTTCATTTTGGAGTTTTGAGAGATAATAGGTGGATTCTTGCTATTTTCACATTACCCCCAGGTTCTGGGTAATCTTCTTTAATAATTTATTAAAATATGATATCCAGGTTTTTTTGTTGTTGATTTCAGATAATCTATGATTCTTATCTCTTTTACAAAAATGTTTATTTTCCATTCTGAATTCTTTTCTTCTCACTGGTCCCTCTAACAACCTACTGAGAAAGCAAACAATATGACACCCAATACATATGAAGTCAGGCAAAACATATTTCCACGTCAGTCATGTTGAAAAAAAAATCAAGACAAATAAAGTGAAAAAAAAAAACAAAAACAAAAACATGTTTCAATTTGCACTGAGTTCATCAGCTCTCCTTCTAGAGGTAGACAGAATTTTTCCCCATGTGTCCTTTGGAATTGTTGTGTTCATTATTGTGATCAGAGTAGCTAAGTCTTTCACAGTTGATTATCATTATAATATTGTTGTTACTATGTATAATATTCTCCTAATTCTGCTCATTTCACTTTTTTTCTTTTTCTTTTTTTTTTTTGTGGGACGATGGGGATTAAGTGACTTCTATCTACTGCGCCACCTAGCTGCCCTTTGCTCATTTCATTTTTTATCAGATCACATAAATCTTCCCAGGTTTTTCTGAAACCATCCTGATCATCATTTCTTACAGCACAACAGTATTCCATCATAATCATATACCACAACTTGTTCAGCGACTCCCCAAATGATGTGAATCTCAATTTTCAGTTCTTTGCCACCACAGTAGGTTATATCTCTTCTCAATGTTTTCCAGGTCGGTAACTTTTTATAAGAAATATATTAATTTTGCTTGATTGTTTTCACTTTTGGCTTTGTTTTGAGAATTCTTTTTATCTCTTAGAATCGTTAATTTCTATTTGGTCCACTCAGATTTTTAAGGAGTTTGTTACTACTGTAAGGTTTTATATCTTCTCTGTTAAGCTAGTGATCCTTTTCCCAAGTCTATCTATATTTCTCATTTCTTTTATATTGTCTTTTTTTAAACTCCTACATCATTTCTTTGATGAATTATAATTATTCTTTTGGACAAGCTGGGGTTGTTTTTTTTTTGGGGGGAAGGTGAGGGGGATAGCAAAAGGAGCTGCTGATTGAAGGAGATTTTGAATTATTTTCTTCTGAATTTGTATCTTACCATCCTTGGCATCATAAAAGTCTTTTTATTGTCTGATAGATTACTCAATTTTGTTGCTGAGGCCTCAGGAGTTGACTCTACTCTACTACTCTAGGGACCGATTCAAACTGAGAACTTTTCCTTTGCCCCAGGGGTCTTTCTTTAGGTCAGACTCTCCTTTTCCTCAGGTCAGGGTTTCAACTTAGGCTTTTTCCTTCAAAACAGACATCAGTTTTCCTCTCCTGTGACCTTCAACTGCTCTCTCTGCTGCCAAGTCTTCCCCCAGTCCAACCGAACGTTCTGAGGCCTGACTATGATGTCACTCTCCAACTCAATAAACTCTAATGGTTCCCTGACCTTGTCAGTTCCTATAGATTCAACTGTATGTGTGTGTATGTATATGTATATGTACATGTACACATACACAGATGGCTCCTAATATTATGAATCCAGTTTTATTCTCTCCCTTGAGCTCCAGTTCCAAATCAATACCTGCCTACTGGACATGTCCAAAACAGAACTCATTGTCTTTCTCCCTAAATCTTTCCTATTTATTACATATAGTATTAACCATATTTTGAACTAAACTAAAAAGCCTTTAAATACTGTTGTTTTGACAATTGATTTGAAGGTTGTTATTCTCAGAACTGCTAACAGTGCCTAAACAACTTCATGATTTAAAACCAAATACCAGTTATTGAAGGTGATTTCAACATTTTAAATCCTGTTTAATTTTTAATTTTATGAGTTTTTCATTTTTAAATTTAATTTAATTTTTAATTTCATGACTAATTTTAATTTAAGGCATATGAAGGGTAAATTTTTTTTGACCCTGTCAAAATGTATATCTCATTCTGCACCTCTAATCTACTAAAACCTTTCTGTAAGAAGGAAATTGGCATTTGTTAAGCACCTACTCTGTGCCAGATACTGTGTGAAGCATTTTATAAATATGATCTCAATTGATCTCCACAACTCTAGAAGGTAAATGCTATTATTATCATAACATAACTGAGACAAAGGTTAAGTGACTTGCCCAGGATGAAGCAGCCAGAAAATGTCTGAGGCTTGATTTGAACTCTAGTCTTTCTCACTCTAGGACAGCTATGTGGCACAACAGATAAGAGCGCCTGGCCTGAAGTCAGGAAAACTCATCTTCCTGAGTTCAAATCTGGCCTCAGACACTTACTAGCTGTGTGACCCTGAACAAGTCACTTAACCCTGTTTGCCTCAGTTTCCTTATCTATAAAACAAACTGGAGAAGAAAATGGTAAACTACTCTAGTATTTTTGCCAAGAAAAGCCCAAATTGGGTCACAGAGTCAAACAATTGAAACAAATGAACAACAACTTTCTGACTCCAAAAGGTAATTTTTAAAGTAGTAGTTTAAAGTCATAGATAAGTTAAAAATAAAGAGTAATTTCAACAATATGGTAATTGTCTAAATAAATATAAAACAATAAAACTTAAAATAATAGCTTTTATACTATACTTTTAAATAGTTCGCAACTTTTATTCAGAATATATTCTCTACATTCTGCTAATTAAATATCTTCACAACATCTTAATATAACAGTACTCTTTTTAAAAAAAAATTTTTTAAACTTATGGAATAAAACAAGCAGTTCCATAACACCATACAAAAAAAAAGATGATTGCACATAAAGCCACAAATTCACTATGTACAGCTTGCTACTCCTTTTAAATACACAACAGAGTTATCATGTACATTTCCTCCCCCTCCCCCATAACAGTGGTCTTTGCAGGTGATCTTCATTCCCAAACACTTGGCTAGGGCCTACCTTAATAACTGAGGTAAGTATTTTACAATAAAGGCTCCTGTCCGTTCCATAATTTACCAACTTTCTGAACATCATTTTTGTTTTTGGTTTTGGTTTTTTTTGGCTAAGCAATGGGGTCACATACAGCTAGTAAGTGTTATGTGGCTGAGGCCAGATTTGAACTCAGGTCCTCCTAAATCCAGGGCCAGTGCTCTATCCACTGCACCACCTAGCTGCCCCCCGAACAACATTTTTGATGGTCAGGCATATTCGCCACTATGGAAGTTTGTTTGGCACTCTCTAAACATTTGACAAAGACTTGGAAAAAAGACAGGATATTTCCATATTTAATTCTGTACATGAGTATATATTCTGAATGAACTAGCTGGATTAGAGTCCATTCTGTAGTATGAATGTTAACATACTCTAATTTCCTTTAAATATTGCATCCTTAAAAATTCTCTATAGAAAGATTACATATACATATGTTAAGTATATGCATATTTTTAATAAAAATACCCAATAATCTTTTCTATTTTTTGTTCAAGTAGTAAAATTTCTAAAAGAAAAGCTCATTTCATTCATTTTCATTCACATATGTGTCCATTTTTAATTCTTAATTTAATCTTTACCAAAACAGACACTGGCAATTCCTTTTCTAATCACTAAATAATACTGGGCTCTCCATGTTCTTTATATGTGAATATGCATGACGTTTCTAAAACCGCAGTAATTTACATAATAATGAGAAGCAACATCAGCTAATGGACAGAAAGCTGGTCTTAGAATCAGGAAGACCTGAGTTCAAGGTCGGCCTCTCCTCTATAATGGCTGTATGCCCCTGTGCAAGCCCCAGAACCTCCCAGTGCCCCAGACAACCCTAATGCTACAAGTTAATGAAGTGTCACAGATCTGCACTGGTTAAGTGAGTCTGCAACCAAAAATTCCCTGTACAAATGAAATCATATAGAACAAGAAGAACAGCAACAACAAATTTCAAACTTATATAAATTTACCAAGAGCTTTTCTCACAATAACTCTTCCAGGTAGATAATCTAAAATATTAATGGGAATATTTTACAGATGAGGAAGCTGAGATCTACAGAGGTTCACCTAGGTTCTCACAAATAATAAGCAGCAGAAATTTATATCGAGGCCTTCTACTCAAAAAGCAGTGCTATTTCCAAACCAGAGCGGTTCCCAATTGAAAAGGAAAAAAACCTCAGCTAATCATTTGGTTGAACTGAAACAATCTGCTATCAGAGAAGGAGTATTGAAGTCAGGAAGATATGTATTCAAATTCCACTCCTCTACTTAACAGCATATGACCCTGGACAGATCATTCAACCTCTATGTGCAGCTTTTTCCTTATCTGCAAAATGGGACTAGAAATATTTGAACTACCTATTGCATAGGAACATTTTACAAGGATTAAATTAGAAAATATATATAAAGTACACTTTGTAAAATTAAAGTACTATATTATTGGACTACATGTTTCAAATATACCCTAAATCAGCCTAACCTCTCTACATAGTTAACATTTCTGTTGACACAATGTCAAAAATGTGATTTTACTCTTTCCCCCCAAAACAGACAATGACTAAAACAATTGGATTTATCAGTTATTTTGCAAAGTATAGACTGTCAATGTGCTCTAAAAGTAGGAAAAAAAAACACAAAACTATAATCTATTAACAGGAAGGCCTAAATATTCCTCCTCTCTACCCCCAAATTTGACAGACTTATAGGAAGGTAAGTGTGTGTGCCTGTGTGTGTGTGTGTGTGTGTGAATGTATATGTAGATAGTTTCTATAACTGGAAGGTATATATGTATATATCTTTCTATAACTTCCAGATGTGCATATATGTGTGTGTGTATGTATCATCTTTAAAATATTGGCTATTCCATGTCTCCTTCCACCCCCCCATTATCTCTTGACATTGTGACAGGGAATGATGCATTAAATAGGCATCAACACATATAATTAATTGAATGATGAATTTTAAAGTTTTTATTTATTTAAAATTTAGTCACTACATAAATCTAAAGCCTAAAAAGCATGAGGAATGCAACATTGAGTTAATGAGTGGACACAAATACAAACTTTCTTTGGTTCATATAAGTCCTCAAAATACATACTTTAAACTGATCTATCAAATTAATGTTTTCTTACACATTTTCCACTCGAACTCGCTGATAGTCAGAAAGAATGGCACCAACAGATACACCATCTATTTCTTCTTTCTCCTGAAAAAAAAAAATAAAAGATAAATCATTATATGGTCTTGAACAATAATCTGGGAAACAGAAAAGTATTATGGTTTTTTTGAGGAAATTAAATGTAGACATAATAAAATATTAATCTATGTAAAGGGGTAGAAAAATTTGCTAGATATGAAAATTTTTTTAAATGTTTAAATGGCAAGTAACAAGAGTCCATTTTGCATGGAAAATGCACTGAATAAAGAGACACTTGAAAAAGGCTCTCATATAATATAATTTAAAGATTCAATGATGCTTCATGGAAATAATGAGAAGCACCGTATTTAAAAAAAAAACGGTGTCTTAGATCAATAACTTTTTGTTTGTTTTTAAATAAAGTATCAATTGTGGTGGATAAAGAAATATGATGGGCACTATTTGTCTGAATTTTATAAAAAAATTTTATATGATAAGAAGGATCTTTTTATATTCAGGAAGGAGAAATGAGAAAGATAACATCATGGATAACAAATTAGCTGACAGATAGAAAATGATGAGTTATTGTCAATAAAGCTACAACTGAACATATATCTTGGATGATTCCGCAGGGACTGGAACTCACATTTTCAATATATTTGATAACAATCTAAAGCAGAATGTAAATTCAGCAATGATTAAAGTTGCAGATGATACAAAACTAGAAGGGTTTTTTTTTTAAGGTAAAGGAAAATCAATCAAATAAATACATGAATATGGACAACTTGGGAATCTGGTAGGACTAGTCTGAGATGAGATTTAATGAAAGGAACTGTAAGATATTACACTTAGAAAAGAATAATATGCAAGCCAGGAATAAAGCGGGGTATATTATCTAGAAAATAGTTATGAAGAAAGTAACTAGGGGGTAATTATGGATAACAAACTGAATAAGAATTCACTGTACAAGAGAAGTTCCCAGTCATCCCCCTACCCTCCAAAAAAAGCCAATTCTTTCCTGGGATATGTTTACAGAAAAAAAATTAATTCAGAATAAATGATATTATTAATACTCTGACCCATCCAAATATGGGAACCTGATACTGACTTCATTACATACAAAAATACAAATAATAATTGGCACAAAATAAATGCATTAAAAAGACGTAGTAACCCTGAAACTCCTACAAGACTTGAAGAAATTAAGGTAAGTAATCAGATATACAACAGGAATTTCTGATGTCAAAAGTGTTACAGCCATTTTAAAGGTTCCTTTCCCAAAGGGTAGAAAAATATCTGTCTAAACCTCACTGGGACAAGTAAATAACTACTTAAAACACATTAGTTGTAGGAAAAGAACTGTGATTTTGATCCTTCCTTTGTTTCCATTTGTGCTTCATAAAAAGTGATTGTACTACAAGAAGTTAACAACTATCTAGTTAAAAGGTAAAATATAATATAGCATATAGTGTACTGAGCAGGGAATCAAACTAAAAGGGTAAAGTTAAGCTAATGTATGTGAATGTGCTTAGTTAACTAAAAGAACTATACAGAAATAGCTATTAGTAGAAGTAGTGGTACAATAATATTAATTTCACCACTCTAATACAACAATAGGGAAATAGAAAACATAACTGATTTTTAAAATACATTCTCTAGAAAACAAAGAAACAAAATTGTAAGTCATAGATTATCTTTTTCTAATATAAACTTATCTACTGTAAAGTGAAAGTAAATAGCCTAATTTTGATGAAAGAAGTATTAAATTATAGTTCAAATTATTCTGTTAAGACTGTATATCGTTTATGGAGAGTAAAAAGCCAGTAAAGTACTTCACAAAGGAAAATAAATTGGTCGAGATGCCAGATAAGGCAATAAAATTCTTACATCTTTATATTACATGTGTTTATGCTTCACATCCTCCCAAATTGTTACACAACACAACTTTCAATAAACTTACTACTTTAGCGGACCAGTTATCTTACGAAGTAGGTTACTCTCTCTAACAGGACAGAAAACTTTTTCATGGCTTCTCACTCTGGGTTATTCTAATCCATTTTCCCCCAAAAAATCCTTCATAGAAGATCTAGCTAGTGCATTGGCTGCCTTCCTTTAGGGCAAATGTTCTTAACTTTGTTGTATATTATGGACCCCTAGGGCAGTCTGGTTAAGCTGACTGACTCCTTCTTAAAATAATGTTTTTCAGTGCACAAAATAAAATGCAAAAGATAACAAAGGAAATGACATTGAAATAGTTATCAAAACATTTTAAAAACAAATTCATGAACCTCAGGTTAAGAACTCCTGCTCTAGAATTTTTAACTTCCTGTGGGTACTAGCATTGTAGTCCATTTGTCACTTCTCACTCTTGCTACACAACCTGTTTACTCCTTTTCTGATCATACGTTTGGCAGAATATATCTTTTATGCCAATTCCCGTGCCAACTTCATCTTCCTGAGTGACATTCTTAATTCCTCATAAAATATTTGAGACTAAGATATTGGAGTCTAAATATAATTGGGTTATCCTACTATGAATGAGCAAAAACTAAATATCATTTTAAAAATTGGTAACTTAGGGATTCTCTTCTATGAGTTTGAGTAGCTTAAAACTGGAAATACTTGATCAGTTTCTCCTGTTCATTTTAATTCCTACTTTCGACAGCAAATTCTTCTCTAAATGAGTGATTTTCTGGTATCTTAGCATCTACACTAGACAGGAAAAATAGAGAAAGCCCATGAATAAGATATACTCATGAGATTAAAGGATATTCTTCATTGGTAGAATATAGAGTGGAAAGAAAGCACAGTGCTGACGTCCTCCAAATCTACATCCAGATTGGGATGGAGGTGTAGCATCTCCCTAAAATATAGCTTCTCACATTTACTATTCCATCTAAGTACCACTTCTTTATCATAAAGTAAATATGAGGAATGCTCCCTCCTTTTCAATGGTTCCAGGAAGAAGGGAGGAAAGAGTTTTCTATCACCTCTGCTTCCAGAGCTACACTTTGGAATCTTGAAGATAGTTGCCATCTGATAAGTAGGAGACAAAAGGACTGAAATGCTCCCTCATCTATTTAAGTCTGACTAAAAAGGGAGATATGAAGAATCTCATCTATGAGGCACTGTGCTAAGGGGCCAGGTTGACACTTATTTATGAAGGTTTAATTGGAAAAGAAAGATCTTTTTGGCTAGTTGGAGGAGTTACAGGAAAAGAAAGCTAGAAGCAATAAAAACTACAAAGATATACAGGATAGTAGCCAATTGATATGATCTTGAGTCTTTCTAGGGAGTTCTTCCTTCAAATTGCCTTGTCAATGCCAAGAGGACAGTCTCAAGGGGTTTTCTCAAGTGAGAATCACAGGCCTCTGATGGAAGTTCTTTTAACATTTTCCCTTAGGATTCTACACATGCTAACGCATAGTCTATAAAGGTGGGGCAAGGAATAAACTTCCAATACACAGGGACCTACTAAAGGGAAGAAGACATTAATTATACTCTTGCAATTACAAAATACTCGGAAGCAAATATGTCCTTATAAAAATCAAAAGAGAGGTCATGGAAGTGACAAACTAGACAATACAAAATGAATCTTGGCAGTGATAGTTTAAGGTACCTGTGAGAACCAGAAAATCTGTTTTATTTTTAGCCTTTTACTGTCTTCCTCAACATTTCATTTATAAAAGTTTTGGCAGTGATCTGGCTTAGTTAGATCTCATGTAAATATCTGGCTTGCTTTTCTGGCAAATGTTCTCTGTTTTGCAAAACAGTAAATCATGATCTTCCATAATCCGCAATAGTATTTTTTAAATTAGTTTATACCCAGAACCACTACTGCCCTTAGCTGCCCTATCTGTCTGTCTGCCTGGCAAAGTAATCAGATGTTTGATGGCTGAGGTACTTATTTGGGCTCTCTCAGACTCTTCGGTGTGGTGATTATTATGCAATACCTCATCGTGGTTTTGAGATGACTATTCTTGATAGTTACGTCAGTAAAATGATGTAAACTTTGGTAGGTTCCACGAAACAGGAAAGTCTTTGAATAAGATCCTGTTGATAGGTTAAGTGTGAAGAGACACATCATTAGTAGATTGACCACTTGGTAATGAGGTCTTTGGTCATAGTAACCCCCTGAAACAAACAAAGATGCAAAATGGCCCTAATTTTTGGGCTACCAATTTCTGCACTGGCAATGATATTGGCAAAGTTTTGGGGAAAATGACAAAAGGTAATAAGAATCAAGCATTTGTAAATTATCCTAGTAAACAATTAATTTAATGGATGGTATGGTCTTTTAAACATAACATCCTTGTCCAACAAAGAATTGATACCCTACTGAAAGAACTGAAGTCAGTCAATACTGATATTCTTGAAATAAATGAAACAATAACACACAAAGAAGTTGTTGTTAAATAGGAGATAATGCAGATAATTTCTTCAAGTGTCTATAATAGCAATTAAAAATTCATGGAACACTTGGTCATTTCACCTTGTAATGTTTATAATAAGCATGTACAATGTATTTCAAACCACAAAAAGGCAAAAAATTCTACCAAATTAACTTATACATTAATACTCAGTGGCTTCATAGCAATATATCAAAAATACGCTAGTAAATAATGATTCAAGACTAAGGAATAAAGGACGTATAAGTGGCTCATCAATTATGTAGAAATCGAATGCCAACATATCATGAATATATTTTTTTAAAATCTACAATAGATACCTCCATTTTGTTTCCTCCCACTCTCTCCTTAACCTTTTATAATCCAACTTCTGATCACATCATTCCATTGAAACTGCTCTCTCCAGTTACCAAGGATCTCTTAGTTACCAAATTCAATAGCCTTTTCTCAGTCCTCCTTCTCCTTAACCTCTCTGCAGCCTTTGACACTGCTGATCACCCTCTCCTACTTGACACTCTCTTCTCTCTACTTCTCTTGGGTAACACTCTTCTGGTTTTCCTTCTACCTATTTTAATTGTTCTTTCTCTGTTTCTTTTGCTAGATCCTGTTAAAGATTACACCCTCTAACAGTAGATGTTTTTAGGGTTCTGTCCTGGGCCC